AGAAAGAAATAGGCCATCCTGGAGGGGCGGAGGTTATAAGCCACCGAGCCGCCTCCATTATGGCGTTTAATTCCGCTTTAAAAACACTACAAATAAAAGGAAGATCGAAATTTTATACTATCATTTTGAAGTTATGTCTGACGGTGTTCGAATATGGGGCCACCCAGAGCAGATTATGTAAACAAATATGAAATGTAATAAAATAAAGTAAATAAATAAGTAAATGAAAAAGTAAAAAAACAAAAAAATATTTTTTTTTTCTTATTGATATTTTATGTCCAAAAGTACAAGTTAGTTGACATGTAATGCAGAGGTATCCAGGTCTGACTTTTTTGCGGCCATCGCCCCACAAAAGTAGTTAGCTTTTTCGAACAAAATACACAGTTAATAGTTAGCACTAGTGTTCGCGTAAACAGACTAAAGTTAGGTATAAGCTAACGTCACTCCCTGCAGGGAGTTTACACTGCTGGTAAATGTGAATAAGGATTAAAATTTAAAAACTACTTAATACAACTAAAGTAAAATCTGTGGAAAATTAACAATAAAATACTTTTTTCGCAAAGGCTATAAAGGACCCTTTTATTTCTCAAAAAAACCTGGGTAACAGTTATTCGCTGCCACGCTGTATATATGTACAGTCAGTGTCAAAAAAATGCTTACCCTGACGTTTTGACGATTTAATTTATTTATGCTTTCCATACTAAATTTGTCTTATTTTTTATAAAAATAGCACAAATTTTAAGCGACTTGAAACACGTACTTTATTGTACTAAAATTTAATTGGCTACAATACTGAATACATACAATTTTTCTAAAAAGTTAGTTGAAAAATTTTAAATTTCGAATTACGAATTCATAGCCAACTGTCATCTACAGAAGAAAAATCAATTATAGCGAACGTCGCGATCGTCAGTTGTCCCGGAACGAAAGCGAGTGTCATACCAGCGTATGCACTGTGATCGAAAAAACACTGTAGCTTAAACAAAAAAGGGTTGAACAAATTTTTTTTTCTCCCAATTGAGAGCGAGCGACTGCTACTAATTTACTAATAAGTATATATAAAAATAAAAAATTTAAAAAACTACAACAGTTTTTATATCGCCAGACAATTTTTAAAGTTTTGGTGTAACAGGAATGAGATTATCTTCAACAGCTAATAAATAAAGTAAATTTTAGTAAAAGCCTGCATAAAAAAATAATTGCATATAACTTGCATACTAATAGCACTAGAGCTAAAAAATGTTGTACAGTATCATATTACAATAACACCTATCTAAAATTAATAAAATAATCGATGGATAAACATTTTCAATTTTGAGGGTCCCACTTGAGAAATATTTACTCCTTACAATCTCTACACAACTGTTGACGGCTAATGTAATTGTATTAATTAAGGTTATTAATTTCTGTAATTATTTTCCCTTGTATTTTTTACGTTATTTTTTATCTATTTTTATTTTTCTTTCCTACTCATTATTTAACTGTATGATTCAGCCCATAATATATAATTGTAAACCTAATGCTACTCATAAGTTTTATAACTTTTGTATTGAGATCACCATATAAATCAAATCAAATCAAAAAGGACAAGAATAGTAGTGCTCCGATACCATATGGAATACTTGTTCCATTTCGATGTTATGAACTTTACCGATGGTCTTATTTCCACCTTGTTTTGCCAAGCGTTCTTCTACGATCTTGGAACTACAACATTGGTCCGATGCGTCAACTTCTAGTCTTATGTCATGTAAGCCAACAAAAGCCTTTATAAGGAAAATGAAGAGCACAGATGTGCGTTTTCTGTTGTAAAAGGGCTAAGAATCCTCGCAGTCAAAGGACGAAAAGTTTTTTCGTACATTGGCTAAATGAGTCGTGTGATCTTTTGAATACCGTCCAAGTGAAGCCGTTGATATACCTACCGTGTTCTTTCTTGGAAGGAGGTGGTCATATCTTTCATGTGCATTGTCTATGTGTGAGTGTAAGGCCTTACTGCTACAGAAGATAAAGCCCGTTCGTTTTCTCTAGGTCTCTGATTAGGATTTCGTTCTGCCTCCTAATTTCCAAAAACTTTTTCTTAATACCAGTTTTGAACATTTGTAAGGAACTTCAAATGGAAACTGCGAGAAATACATCATTTACATCATATCCATGGATGCAGTGCCCAAATTGGTATTTCTGTTAAAATATCTCCAAAGTAGGTTTTGCAAATCGCACCGATTTCAAATCGCACGAATTGCAGTACATGCCTGATTGATAAGTACTGTAGATACATTTTGAACACATATTTTAGCCACGCTTTTGACATACGTGCGCTTCGATAAAAAAAGGTATAATTACCTGCTGCGCCAAATTTACAAAATCTTGAAATCTCGCTGCTCGGTAGTGGAGTAAAACTTGAAATATTGATTTCTCGCGCCACTTTTTAGCGTACACGCGAATAAAATCCGCCGTCTGCTCATTTATCTGTCCATTCTTTTCATTTACCAACGGCTGAAAGCGTTGCCTCTCATGATACCCACGATAGGCTGTAAGTATAAACAACATTTGCAAAAAGTTTTATAAATGAAACCATAATATAAAATTATTTGATTACGATATATGTACATATTAACGGCCGCCTACTCGGTAATCGTATGCAGGACTAGTACTTTCGCAACGAAAAGTAAGTTATAAAAAAAATGGAGGTGCCCTAATTAAGTAGAGTTTTTATTTCTTCTATTGGTCTCAGTTCATCTCTATTTTATTTTGATCATTTCCTAACATGAATTGAATATCGCTACTAAAATGCACAAAGCCGTAAACAATATAAAAAAATGTAATAAATATTTTTAAATCCCGCAGCCTACTTTAACCCTCTAGTAGGCCAATTTTTTTATGAGTTGAAAAATTCAGGAATGGGTGATTTTAGCACGAGAAATCCAAAACTGATGTCCATTTCGATCTGTGACACTGACTCTTTCCTACAGGGGAGAAAAGCCAAGACCGTCTGGAGACGGGCTCGCCGATATACTTACACATATTTTCAGCTTTCTCTTACACAATGTTGACCTACGAACCGGCAATGCCGTCTGCAGACGGTCAAAAATACAAACTGGGTTTAAATATGTCGGCAAGCTGGTCTGTAGACGGCCTGTGTTCGAAAGCAAATTTCTCCATTTCGGATAGTCAAACAATTATAAAACTTATATCAAAATCCTGTGCTTTTAACTACGAAACCCACCTAATTTTTTTGTATCAAAAAAATTTTCAAAAGAAAAAATTTCTTTAATTACGAAATTATTAAAAAGCAAGAAATAATTAATTTTAACCGTGTTTTCAAAATCGGTAATTCAACTGCCGATTAAAATAAAACGGATTGACATAACGGATTAAAATTTACTTCGCCAGAAGGGTACGATTTTTGTCTAAAGATCGTGCCTTACGAATATAGAAAAAAATTATTATAGGTGCACTAAAAAGGTGTTTAGTTAACGACCGTCTGGAGGCGGTTCTGCCTACTAGAGGGTTAAAATATACCTCCATAAAGAAATGGCAGCGGGAACATAATTAAAATATAAATCGAGAATTTCCCTAAAGATATGTCCATATGTATTCATGTATATGTACTTAGCGTAACCAAAGTGGCTTCGTGTCTAAAAGTTCTCTTTAACACTAGGCTGGAGGTATTTTTTCGGTTTTTTTAATTATTTATTGGTCATACAAACAAATTAGTGTAAATCATCTTTTATTTGAATGCATAAAAGTTAATCTAATATCTGTGTATGCAGCTTGGTTATGAGTATAACTTAAACTTGAAAAGCAGATTGAAGTTATTAAAATTGAAGCACGGTGCAAAAGTTTTAGAAATTGTCTTATTCTAAAGGACATCCTGTAACCATCTCTAGTTGTTTTTTGTTTAAATTTTTGGTTTTTGTCTAATCGTCCTCCATTTGGGTAATTTGCTCCACTTCCGCTAAACGAGCAGCTGCAAGTGCCTCTTCTTTGCGTGCAGATTCAAACAGCTCCTCCGCTTCAGACGGTGTTTCACTGGCATCAAAGTATTCAACATCAAAATCTTTTTCGGAGCGTTCCTTATTACCTTTTTGAATTTTAGTGGCAGCCTCATCGTTGCGTGTAGCCCCTTTTGCTGAAAGAAATAAAAAATCTATTGATTGAAGAACATGAAATGAGTTAATGATATTTAAAAGTATAATTTAAATTTAAATAACACTGTGCTACAAAACGAGGAATACGGAATGAAAATAGATTTTTTAAGGTCCCTGCACCAAACAATTTTTTGTTTTATAAAAACCCGTTATTTTCGTACTTGACGCACCAATTCATTAATTCCACGACCCTAATAAAAAAGGCATGAGTACTAGGTACTCCCGAAATTTCATGTGTAAATATATGCGTACGGCATAGCATAAAAGTACGTTTACATATTAATATAATCTCAATCAAAGCTCACAAGTCGAGGAAAAGTTAAACTTCTTCTCTGCCCACCGTGGTCACTTTTTTCTGCTACATATATTATGCTATTTAAATATATTTTAACTGAATATTTTATTAAAATACCTTTACAAACCTCTTTTTCTTGCTAGCGTGAATTTTTGTTTACTTTTACATTTGACATTCCTCCCCTGCTTCGCAAGTATAATCGATAAAACCAGGTCTTACACCAAAAAGTTTTCGGTTTCATCTGAGATTATTTTTTAATTATAATTTTGTGTGGCTAATCTCTTTTTCAAATTACAGATTAGGGAGTTGAGCTTGAAAATGAGGATATACTTTTATATGTAAACCTATTATTAGGTAATTAAATTACATTAGGTGATTAACTTACATATATACACATGTAGGTTAGGTAGGAAATTAAACATAAATTTCTCCTAATTTTATTCATTTTGCTGATTAAATTTTTTTTATTCGTTTTCATTTTTAATTCTTTAAATATGTACAGGAAATTATCGGTATGATTGATAAAATATGAAACTTGTATATACTTGTGACTCAACGGCGTTGAAAACACCGCATCAGTTGCTGTTTTTGAGCTTGTAGCTTGAGCATTTGCCGCAATAAGAAGAGAGAGGCCGAAATACGTGAGTGCGAAGAGCCTGAGATGCTGGCCGACAGGAAGAACGCCCGAAAATTCTACCAGATTGTTAGGCGACTTACGGAAGGTTTCAAGACCGGGGCGAACTCCTGTAAGAACAACAATGGCGACCTAGTGACCGATGTCCAGAATGTATTTAAAGTGTGGAGGGAACACTTTTACAACCTACTGAATGGTAGCAGCGCTGAAAGTAGTGGAGTAGATGATGATGGAGTCGCTGTCCCACGGCCTGACTATGACGAGGTACGAGTAGCGATTACCTACATAATCTACAAGAAAGGCGGCCCCGCTATTCGCGCCAACTACCGCGGAATCAGCCTTGTAAGCATAGGTTTTAAGGTCTTATCGAGTGTATTGTGTGAAAGACTGAAGCTCACCGTCAACGAACTGATTAGACCTTATCAGTGTGGCTTTAGGCCTGATAAATCAACCATAGATCAGGTATTCACAATACGCCAAATCTTGGAAAAGACCCGCGAGAATAGGATCAACACACACCATCTATTTGTCGATTTCAAAGCCGCTTTCGACAGCATGAAGAAAATTTTCCCTCTCCGAGCCGTTTGATACCAAACGAGGTTTCAGACCAGGGGACTCCCTTTCATGTAATTTCTTTAATCTGATGTTGGAGAAGATAATAAGAGCCGCAAAACTGAACCGCCAGGCTTAATATCTTACAAGAGCGTACAATTGTTGGCGTACGCCGACGACATCGATATTATCGGTAAAAACAAGGGATATGTCTGTTCTGCCTTCTCGGGGTTGGATAGAGAAGCAAAGCGAATGGGTCTGGCGGTGAACGAGGAAAAAAGAAGTATCTCCTGTCATCACACAAACAGTCAGAGCATACGCGTCTTGGCACCCACGTCACTATTGACAGTTACAAGTTTGAACAAGTAGACGACTTCGTTTATTTGGGAACCAGCATTAACACCAATAATACTGTCAGCCTTGAAATCCAACGGAGAATCACTCGGGCCAACAAGTGCTACATTGTGCTGAGTAGAAAATTGAGAAATAAAGTCCTCTCTCGTCTTACAAAGGTCACACTCTATAAGTCACTTATCATGACTGTGCTGGTGTATGGTGCGGAGGTATGGACAATGAAAGCATCTGCTGAGGCGGCCCTTGGAGTTTTCGAGAGAAAGATTCTTGCGAAAGATTTACGGACCTTTACGCCTTGGTGAGTGCGAATATCGCAGATGATTTAACGATGAGCTGTATGAGCTTTACAACGATATAGACATAGTGCAGCATAGTGCATAGGACAGAAACGCGCCGGCTCTGAAAATATTCAACGCGGGCCGCGATGCTGGTAACAGAGGAAGAGGAGGGCCTCCTCTGCGTTGGAAAGACCAGGTCGAGAAGACCAGGTGGCTTCACTTGGCATTTCAAATTGGCGTCAGTTAGCACAGAAGAGAAATGACTGGCGTGCTGTTTTGGACTCGGCCAAAATCGCTTAGGCGGCTATAGCGCCAATAAATAAGAAGAATAAGCTTGAGCATTTGTATTTGTATGTATTCCTAAATTTAGCTTTTCTTTTATGAATATAATCTGTGGTTCTGCTTCATCTGTCGCTAGGTTAACGTTAAAGTTTTGAGTACATATAACATCTCTCGCTAGGTTAACGTTAAAGTCTTGAATACATATAACATACCATCTTTTGGTTGCAAAATGGGAGGCTAAATTCATTTGTTCGGCATTTTCTCTTACTCTCGTCTCCTCTTTTTGCAATCTTGTATTAGCTCTGATCCAGTACTCAATGAAATTACAGGTGTTTACACGAACTTGTAGGGAGTTACAGGAAAAATGATCCCGTACTCCAAAATCCTAAAAATGAGAGCGATTTTTCGATAGTTGTGTAGAGAATGAAGTTGCAAGATTTTACCCCATGCTTTTTTTTTTGTTAGCAAATGTAGGTGATTGACGTAGACACGGATTGCTTGAAAATCAAACTTGTTTGATTTTGCCCGCAGTATCGTGAGAAAAATAAGAAGAAGATGGTATCTGAAGTTCAAAACTGAAGTATTTTTATAATAAAAATCATAATTTAATCGTTATTTTGTGTTTTTTTCAATCATCTCTAATCGTTATTTTGGATTTTTATTTTTTTCAATCATTTTTAACGGTTGTAATAGAGACAGTGTTTTTATAACCGTTTTAAACCTTTATGATCAAAAATATTAAATCTGAAAAAATAAAAATCATAAAATAACTTAAAAATGATCGGAAAAATAGAAATCCATGTACATATACGTTTTTTTTTTGATCGAAAAAATAAAAATCATAAAATAACGATTAAAATTGATCTTAAAAATAACAAGTAAGAAAGTCTAAGTTCGGGTGGAGCCGAACATTAAAAACCCGGCGCCAGTATTAAATACATGTTTTTTCACCTTTCCGAAAGCTACCGCTAGATGGTAAGCCAGGGTGTATCGATTTTGAGTAAATTAGCGTCCTTAAATTTCGAAATATTGCAGTTTCAAGCATTTCTGAAATTTACCGTTAAATGAGAAGCGGCCGTAATTTTAGTCCGATTTCAATAATTTTCAACGTTTTGCTTTTATGTGGCAAGCACAATAAAAATACCGAGTTTGGTACAAATTGGTAGAACGGTTACCGATATCATAAGTGGGCGGTGCCACGCCCATTTTCCAAAATTTTATCATAGGCGTATTTCTAGGTAAAAAATTGTTGCAAACACCAATTTTGAATAAATTAGCTTAAATATTTACTGATATATCGAAGATTTCGTATTTCTCTAAATTACCTTTATATGGGACTAGCAATTACCCGGCGTGCTTCGCTGCGCCTTAAATGTATTTTT